AAGGAAACGTAAGTAAATGATGCAATGAAAAAATATGTCAAGACAACATACTTCACTTACCAAGGAACCATGGACTACAGGAACCAAACACTGAATCAATGAGAGTAATTCCTATAAACTCAGGTACTCTTTGCTAAAGCTATACCCTGAGTACATCCATAGTTCCAAGATTGTGACAATTACAGAATCAACATGACTACTGTTATACACCTTTCATTGTATCATTCTACACTTGTGTTTTAATAATTTCAATTTAATAATTTCCACTGTAATTAAGTGCTTATAGCATAGATTAACATATGATTTCCTAGATATATCAAAAAGGTTGAAGACCAACAAGGTAGAAATCTTTATTAGAAAAGCCACATATGTCCCTTGCTGCTATGCAGAGAACATTCTACATAGGAGCACATGTTACTGTTACTGTTAACTAGCACAGTAACTCTTGAGGGACAAGATGATGACTTGGATCAGGTGATGGCAATGGAGATGATGGGAACTACAGGCAACAGATGGGGTGTAATGAGGGTTCAAATGTGTGTGATTTTGTCCTAAGCACCTAAAGGACATCATTTCCATTCACTAAATTGGATAATGCCAATAGAATTTGTTTTTACAAGATAACTAGGAGCCTAATTTTTGGTCAGATTCATTGGGCATGAAAAGCAGAGCATAGTATATAGTTGAGGAAACAGGTCTGAGGTGAGTTGGGACACTTGAGTATTGTTAGCATATGTTTTTAAAGTCATGACAGAGGCTGGAATCACTCAATGAATAAAAATAAAAGAGGAGAAAGCCACAAGGACTGAGTTCTAGTCCCATCTCTGACTCGTGTTATCTCATTCAAATTACTTTAGAAAATACTCAACCCATTTCCATAGTTTACAGAATTATAAGCCAAGGAATACAATCTTTGCTAAAATTGGTCATTTTCTGTATCCACCTGAAAATGCTTTCTTCATGGCTTGATTTTTATTGTTATAGATGAAAGTAAGCTTCATTTTTATGTTTACTAGTGACACACTTTTTTGTGATCACATTTTTTTGAGATCATAATTTAATCACAAAATTTCTTCCCTCCCTTTCCTCCATCCAAACCCTCTCACATACCCTTCCCTGCTCTCCTTCAAACCTTCCCTTCATACCTTCTTTTTTCACTTATTGTAATTGCATGCCTATATGTTTATACATATATATACATATATATACATACACACACACACACACACACACACACACACACACACACACACACACATATATATATATAACCTGCTCAGGTCATATAATGTTACTTGTATGAATGTATTCAGGGTTGATTATTTGGCATTGGACAACCAGTTGGTGTGCTCTTCTCTGGGGAAGAGTCTCTCTCTCTCTCTCTCTCTCTCTCTCTCTCTCTCTCTCTCTCTCTCTCTCTCTCTCTCTCTCTCAGCTTTCCTTGGTTACTTATAGTTCTTTGTGCATGGTTGAGACTTCATGGGCTATTCCCTGTCCAGTTTGGCATGTTCGTTCAGTGCTATCATTGTTTAGCCCACATTTGGGCAGTCATGTTGGTAACCCAAACACTCCCTCTGTGAGGACTAGCTTTCATAGTACCAGAAGGTGCCATGCAAGCTTCCAAAGGAGGGAGGCAACCAACAGTCCTACACAGCCTTGATGCCTGTGAGCCATATAAACAATCAGCACGGAACAATAACCCTAAGGGCGCACGTTAGTGGCATGGATACCTTGGTGGTAACCAACAGCTCTCTAATTGGACTTAAGACCCACTCAACAAGAGGGAAACCATGTTGGGTATCGAAAACCTACTTAACACTCAATATTAGTGAAGTCAGTGCTAGTTATCGGGGGAGAATCTACAACCACTAATTTACTAAATCAGCATGGCCTTTTGCTTTGTTTTGTTTTTCAAGACAGGCTTTCCCTGGGTAGCCCTGGCTGTCCTTGAACTCGCTCTGTAGACCAGGCTGGCCTTGAACTCACAGAGATCTGCCTGCCTCTGCCTCCTGAGTGCTGGGATTAAAGGCATGTGCCACCACTGCTCTGCTTGTGACATGTTTTTTAATGTCTAGGTAACATTACTATGTCTTTGGCTCACTTAGTTCTCAAAGTATTCTGATCTTATTGATTTATAAAAATATTTTATAAATTATAAAAACTGATTTTGTACTTTTGCTGTGATGCTTTATTTTTCAATTTTTCATTAACTTATTTTTTATTAATGTATGTGTGAAGGTCTCCTCTTTCTCTCTTCTCCTCTCTCTCTCTCTCTCTCTCTCTCTCTCTCTCTCTCTCTCTCTCTCTCTCTCTTTCTCTCTCTCTCTCTCTCTGTCTCTCTTGTGTGTGGGCGGGGGGGAGTGAGAGGTCCACAGAGACAAAAAGAAAATATAAGATCACCCTAGAGCACTTACAAGAACAGTAAGTGCCCTTGACCTCTGAGTCATGTCTGCAGCTACTTTTTGTCAACATTGTCAACATTACCATTGTACTTTAAAGTTACGTTTTATATTTACTGTTTACTAGGTAACTGAACGCCCAGCAGGCCTGCGAGTCTTCTGCTCTGTTGTTAGATTCTTTCCTTAAATCAGGGAAGTGGATGCAAATTTTTGCTTTCTTCTTGTTTGGGTAGCATATGGCGTGTAGTCTAAGAAGTGTTTTTAAACTCAGTCTCACTGAGGATATAATTACTGGGAATCCCCACACCCTCTGTGCAAGTCCAGAAGCTGGCAAGTGTCTTCTTCGAATAACATCTACTATCACCCTAGCTAATACGAATCTGATCTGAGTGGGGATTTCCCTAATAGGCTGAAAGGAGGTAGTCATGGCATGTTTCACACAAGCACAGCAAAGTTTTTATATTTGTCACAGTAACCTAGATCTGCTTTCCTAGTGCTCAGAAACAACCCCAAGTGTGATTCAGTACCTTTACTCAACCTCCTTCTAACTGCCCATTCCTCTTCTCTCCCTTCCCATCTCCTAATAACCACCATTTGAAACGCAAGTTGTCTTTTTAACTTCTCTGCACGAGAGAGAACACGAGTTACTTTTCTTTCAGGGTCTAATTCCATCTAACATAATGTCCTCTAGCCCCATCTATTTTGTATACATGACAGGATTTCATTGTTGTTTTCTTTAAACATTTACTTTATCTTGACTACTGTGAATAATGCAACAATAAAGATGGAAGTGTGGATATCTCTTTTGTACAAAGGTTTAGTTTCATTTCATAACCACCAAGAAGTGGGACAGATAGATCCTGTGATAGACCTGCTTTCAGCTTTTTGAGGAACTAGCCCATGCTCAGCAGCAGTTGTGCTAATTTGTATTCCAACCATGTATAAAAGTTCCCTTTCTTCCACTTCCTCACCAGCATTTGTGATTCCGCCACTTTGTCACTCTGATAAAAGCTTTTTGCATGTTTTCCCACTAACCACATATCAGTGGACATTAGTCAAGTTGCAAAGGAAGAAGCTTTCATTACTTTTCCTTCTGTGGTCCTTTAACTGGGAAATTTATGCTGCAGATCGTGAAATATTGAAGAAGGAGTACATCTCACTCTTTCATAATTCCTTCATGCAACTACTCTGAGCAACACACACACACACACACACACACACACACACACACACACACACACACGCCTTTCCACTTCACAATCATTCTTCACACCTCCCCTCAATAATCTAGTCCCCACAATATCTGCGCTGGCTTGAAACTTCCTTGCTACTGTTGGAAATTTCATTTATTATTTATACTTTCTCCATTGCATTGAAAAATGCTTGTAGAGTAGCTCTCTCTCTCTCTCTCTCTCTCTCTCTCTCTCTCTCTCTCTCTCTCTCTCTCTCTCACACACACACACACACACACACACACACACACACACACACACACACACGCGCATGAGCACTGGTTGAAAACACACACCACCTGGAAATGACCAGGATGGTATTTTGCAATTTGACTGTCAGGTGTTAATAGTAAATGCTCTACAAAGAACAGTCCTCTCTGGTGCTGAAAGTGAAATGACTCAGGATTGCTTTCACTTCCTGTACACCAACTCTGCTTACCATCCCTTACATGTTACGTGAATCAGATGGTGTAGGAAAGTGAGGAGACTTTAATTGTCTTTTATTGGTCCTTCTTTGCCCAAGTACAAAATAGGTGGGAAAATTAAAAAGATGTTCCCTTAAAAAGACATGAAACGAGACATGGGAATAAGTGGAAAGGGGATATGTCTCTACTACATGTATGAGAGAACAAGGAACGATTAAGAATTACAAGTTACTTTATAATGCATTTGATAAAGAAACATTTAAGAGAAAGATATGCTAGAAGATAATACAAATTTCTTCACTTACAACAGGGAAGTTTCATTTGTTTTTTTTTTTTCCTTTTTAAAAATATACGTTCTTAAATGTCTGTGCATGTGTGTGTGTGTGTGTGTGTGTGTGTGTGTGTGTGCAGGTAACCACAGAGACCAGAAGAAGGCATCTGATCCCCTGCAGCAGAAGTTATAGGTGGCTGTGAGCTGCCAGACATAGGTATAGGAACATAATTCCAGTCGTCAGCAAGAGCAGCAAGCTCTCTCAACTGCTGAGCCATCTCTCCAACTCTTGTAATTTTTAAATGGACAGCAAGTCAAAGGAAAAATTAAGAATAAGATCTCATAGGAGAATGCTCTGAGAGTTTAACAGAAAATTATTAAGTGGTAATGAGAGTGTCATGGGGAAATGGAGTAATGAGCTGTTTTCAGAAACTGAATTTTCTCAATTGAATATCATGACTGGTACTAATTGATTGTTAATGGTTGGGTGCTCTGCACCTTCTAAGCACTCAATAAAGATGATTGATTGAAATGTCACTTACAAAAGCTATAGTAACATCTATAAAGCAATCACATAAGGGAAATGTGAGTGGGAAATGTATATGCATCTAAATATCCTGCTAAGCAGATGATTAACAACAACAACAATAATAATAATAACAAACAACTATACCTTCTCCGTGTCGATGCCTTTTGACATTGACCATGTTGAGACAATATAATCCATGACTCGTTCACTAAGACCTTTTGGGACCTGATATAATTTCAGGAAATCTCGAACATTATTCAGCATCTCGTGGTAACGGTTGGTGTTGGCATACATTTGCTGGAAAATTGTGGTAACATTTCCAAAAATAGTTGCATAAAGAAGAGCTGAAATAAAAGAAATGATAAAAATAAAACAGATATCCCAAGTGAAAAATTTAAATTGTCTAAATCAGTAAACAATGTGACAGAAATATCTTGATTAACTTCCAGAGGTTAACACATATGAAGTCCTGACTAGACTGCTTGGCATCTTGAGGGATCTTTAGAAAGATTACCACAGAGCAAGAGTTGTAAACTCAGTGAGCATCACCATGTCAAACAGCATGGAGCTCCATGGAAGTGGTGTGAATATTTCACAGAGTCAGACGACACAAAGTTATAAATTTGCTAAATTTTCTAGCCCTATTAAATTTGCTTATTATTATACCTGTGTGTGTGTGCCTGTGGGGTGTGTGTGTGTGTGTGTGTGTGTGTGTGTGTGTGTGTGTGTGTGCCTGTGGGGTGTGTGTGTGTGTGTGTGTGTGACTGTGGGGTGTGTGTGTGTGTGTGTGTGTGTGTGTGTGTGTTTGTGTTGTGTGTGCAACCATGTATATAGAGGTCAGAGAACAAATGCGTGGCATTCCTTCTCTCCTTTCACCTCTACATTGACTCTGGGGATGGAACTCAAGTCACCAGACTTCTGCAGCAATCACCTGACCCACTGAGCCATCTCACCAGCCTGCAGCATTTCTGTCCTTTTTTCCTCTAGCCCCACCCTCTCAAAAGAAGGCTAATCAAGTCATAATTTGCCAGGGATTGGTGATCTCACTTAGAAACGCATGCTCCTCTCACAGCTTACTCCTTCGAGCTTTTGGAATACTTCTTGGGTTACAAATATTTTTGACAGAACATCAGAAACACAGGGGGCGGAGGCAGATTAAAGTGCTCCATTTTCAGAACCTTGTGGAGGTAAGCTGGGATGGAAATAAAAGCTGAACTGAAGCCCTCAGAGTGCTTGGAGTCATTAAGCTCATGTCAGTACAGAAGGAAGTGGAAATGTTTTGAGCCCATCATTTTAAGAGCACAGACAGCTTGTGACCACTGTGGTTTGTCTGCAGGGGACTATGAATGGAAACCAGTGGTGCCTGGGTCTAAACCCAGAGTGTACAAGCTCCCCTCTCTCTGGATCCAGTCAGTCTGCAAATAAAAACCTGCTGGGGGGAAACTCGGTAAAAATCACTTAGTTCAACCCCCAACTGAACATGGATCCACTGTCTTATCCTACATCACCTCCTCCCCGTCACTTTCTTTATTTCTTTCAGTATCAGGAAGCACTGAAGAAAAGGGGTGGTGCTGTACCCTGATTTTCAGGAAACACCGTGTATTAACTGCAGGAATTACAAATATGTGTTATCAGCAGAGACCACTTCCACCTGCCATCTTCCAAGCATTTGGGAAAAAAAGATATCCTTGAGAGAAAAACATAAGCTATCTCCCTTTGCAGTTTCGCCAGCCAAATCCTGTTGGGTACTAATGATGTAAAATCCAGTTAGTAAAGCAACTTAAGATCCTGTCTATATTTGGGGGAAAATATTTGTTTCTCTGAAAGCCGCTGTTCTCCTCTGAGTGTAACGAACTGGAATTCCACAACAGAAAGTTATTATTTTTATAAACATTTCTGTAGTTTTTACTTTTCCTGTTGTCATTTAGATATTTGGATACCAGAGCAGGACAATTGTTTTAAATAGGTACTATTTAATTAAAATTTGGTAGACATATAGTGTTTTCATTTCTAAACTGGGTCTTTAAAGCTTTGAGTAATCTTATTTAAAGGCACCCCACACACAAAAAAAATGAAAGTAATCACAGACATGGCCTTTCCATTACATCACTGTTGCTCTTAACATAAACAGCAACAATATGAACAAGTTTAATAGAGAATAACATTCAAAAATACGCAAGTATATGTTTTCAGAAAAGAAACAAGCAGAGTGACTTTTTTAAATAATGAATAATTACACATTGATGAGACAGCGCACTAATTGTATTCTGTAATAGTTCCCGGTTTTTATAAATTGTCAGTCAATATCACAGGACTACCTATTAGTCACAGTCTAATTAGACTGGCTCCCTAATACGCTTGTAACAGGCTGCATTTGCCAAGCATCTTATTGCTGCCTTCCACACAGAGGCAGAGTATAGGGACAGCAAGTAATGTCTCCCGCAGAAACATGAAGTTTAACAGCTTTTCACACATTTGCAAGAGCTGAGGAAACCAAGAGAGAGACAGACCATTGCGGTGGGTTTTAGCACAGTAAGAAAGGAAGCATTGAAAACTGCAGAAAGAAAAAAATGTTCCCAGGCTAGCCCCCTAACTTCAGGCAGTACACTGAGATGTTTCTCCTCTTCTGCAGAGGAAACAATTAAGTTTAGGCCTTAGATTTTTAACCTAATACTAGGCCTGGCACTGTAAAACCTAGTCCTTCTGAAATTCAGGGCTCCAGCTCCATCTGGAGTCATGCTAGCATGGCGATGGACTGTCCCAGCTGAGCACAGTGGAGAGGAATGTTGTCCCTATTGCAAAGGAGGGAGCAGGTAAGTACTAGACTGCAGTGGAATTCTGCCCGCCTGGTAAAACCCAATACTGTGCCTATCAGATCCTGCCAAGGCCAAAGTCCCACAGGCAGGACTGCTGGACGTGTCCTACTGCCAGACGAGACCTGATGTCCCAGTGGAACACATTGGTACTTTGGACATTACCTCTGGGTAGCGGCAGGAGTTGCAGACTGCAATAGTAGCATGGGCTGTGATTCTAGACTGCATGGAGCTGAGCCCAGAAGAGCTTGGACTTGGGATGCAATAGAACAGAAGTATTGGCTCCTGGGAGCTCATGAGTAGTCAGTCCTTCAATCCTGGGCTTCTGACTACACAGCAGTAACTGTAGATGAGGTATCTGGTCTCACTCCAACCATAGAGAGAATTACTGCTGCCCAACAACATGCTAATGAGGGATCTACAAGAAACAGGGGCTTCAAGCACCTCACAATGTTGAAACAGTGGCAGTGCTCCAGTGTGGACTTGTGGCAAACTTGAACTTGAGTTTTCATCCACTGCCGAAAGAGCTGTAGCCACAAAGCAGCTGCTTAGAATTCCCGAGACAGGCAAAAACGGAGCCACATCATCAACTGACAATAATGGACAAAATCATGTGCCAACAACTGACCATAAACTAATCAATCTATACACAGCAAGGGAATCTTTAAAAACATTTAAGGAAATTGAACAAACTTCAAAGAAACATAGAGAAAAAACTCAATATTTTATCTGAGAAACCTGAGAGGACTGTAGAAACTTAAATACTAACATCAGTAAGCCTTGAACTGAAAGTACACAAACTATAAGCGGATCAATAGCTCTAATAGAATAAATAATTAGTAGGCTAGCAAAAGACTATCCAAGGAGAGTAAAGGACAAAGAATGAAGAGCAGAGAAAGTTCAGCAACTTTGGGACAGCATTACAAGAGCAGACATTTGTGGTGTGGGATTCAAGAGAGTCTTCAGATTGTTACAGAGAGAAGAAGCATAGTCAAAGAGATAATAACAGAAAACTGCCCAAGCCTAAAATTGAAAAGAAACTACAATACAGGTACATGAAGGTCAATGTCACCATAATTGGTTCCAAGGGTCATCATGATTGATTCAGTTCAATGAAATCTATCCCAAATCATAACATAATCAACTCTCAGAAGTTAAATACAAAGAGAAGGTTATTGAGAAAGCAAGAGAATGTATGGACATAATGCACATATAAACATATATGTACACATATGAACAAACACATAAACACATGCATATACACATACACACATATGCACAGACAGACAGACACACATGTTCCAGTTACCTGCTCTCAGCATAAACCCTATAGGCAAGAAGGGGGTAGAAGGATAAAACTGTCACATTCAAGAGGAAAACTATCAATCAAGGATACTCTACCCAGCAAAGCTGTGGTTCAGAGATAAAGAGATCCTCAAACAAACAGAAGCTGAAAAATTATCACCTCCTTACCTGTCCTCACAAAAGAAAAAATAGCAAGTTTTTTTAAGTGGATATAGAAACTGCTAACCACAAGGAAGTGCTGGACATTTAAAATTCATTTATAATAAGAGGAACTACATAAATTCAGGATGCCATAACACACAGTAATCATGGTGCATAGACCATGCATATCTAGTATACAAACAAAAAACAGAACAATCAAAATCAATAACTACATTAGCATGTTGAAGTAGGCAATCTAGAAAGATGTATAACAGGACATTGAAACTCAAAGTATGGGGACAGATGAATATGCATATAGCGTCTCTATCTATCTCCCTTATCCTCTTGTTACTTGGTCCATTTTATGATCACTGTTTAAGCCACATGCATTTTAAAATGCCTTCCTTTAATCCAATAATGTTTTTCTTAAGTCCCCTTGTAACCACAAAGCAAAAACAAGTAACAGATAGATGAATAACAATAATCAAGGAATCAAAACAGACTCTTAGAAAAAAAAATCACCCAAGCCCTATAGAGAAGACTATGAAAGGAGAAAGAAACTAGATAAACTAAGAACCAGTCACAAAATGGCAGAAGCAAGATATTACTTAATAATTATATGAATTATAAATGTATTAAATTCCCCCGAGAAATATACGTGAAGGGACTGAATGGATGCTAAGCCATACCCAACTGTATGCCGTTCAGCACAAATGACCACGGGCTTCATCCTTTCCAGTTCACTAAGCATCTTCCCTTTCTACAGCAATCTCTACCCTTCAGTCAGGTCTCTACTTACAGCTCCATTCCTCTCAGGGGTCTTTCCTGACCACACTAGCTAAATGTTCCCTTCTACCAACATTCTCCAGATCACTGATATAAAGCATAATTATCTCTGCTTTAACTTATATTTGTGTGCTCATTGTTTATTGTTCATCTTCCACACTAGGGAGGCAAATTCTACTAAGTGCACAGGGCCTTTTCTTTTATGCCCACTACTATATTTCCCCCCAAAACACACAGTTCCTGGGAAATTTTCAGTGTTCGATATTTTTCTGGTAAATTCTATGCCAAAAAAAACCCCA